TAAATGACAAAAAAACATTGTAATTCACATTTTCTTTATTTTAGGGGGTTTATTTTACCCTTGGGGAACAGGAAAGGATCCCAGGGGTGACGTGGCAGAGCTCTGTAAAACCCTGAGGAACCCCCAGGATTTGAGCACTCCCACGTCCAACATCCTCACATTGGAAGACTTCACAGAATCATCAAATCAYRGAATAATTTGGGTTGGATTTCTGTTTTTTGATTATTTTTTTAACCCTTTGGACATCAGGCTGTTTCCCAGCTTGGTTAAACCCAGCTGGAAGTCCAGGCTTGGGGCCAAGGGGAGAAAACCCCAAATCCCAGTTGGTTTGTAGCACCTGGGATTCCCTCATCCATCCCATGGTCATAGAGGAGGTGAAAWAAAGCAAAATATGAATATCTGCATTCCCTGGCCCCTCATTGCTGAAGGGCTTGATGAGCTCTGTTTGCAGCAGGGGTTAATTAATTAATAAATTAATTAATTCCCCTCAGGGTCCCAGCTGAATCAATCCATGGATCAGTTCCAGGAGCACCAATCCCATCTCCTCCTCCTGCTGGGTGATAAAACCAGCCCCAACTTTTGGGGAAAAATCAGCTTTTTGTCCTTGAAAACTTTAACACAAATATAAAAAAACTGCATTTCCTGCATTGCTATACATCTGTCTCCTTCCCACGCTGAAACATTTTCTCACTTATTGCAAAGTTTTTGTCTCCTGGTCTTTCCTCTGGGATTTCCAGGTTTTTCTCTGGGGTTTCCAGGTTCTTCTTCGTGGYTTCCACATATCCTTCTGTGACGTATTGCAGGTTGGATTTGGGATTGGCAGCTAAAAAAACAACATATATTTATAATTATTTTAAAATTATTTTACTTATTATTTGTCACTTATTATTTATTGCTATTTATTTATTATCATTTATAATTTATTATTATTTATTACTTGTCTGCCACCTGTTCTGGCTGTGGTCAGCAGCCATTAATGAAACCAAAAATTATTTATTTTAATTGAAGTTTTTTACCCTGTCCATTCTTCTCGTGGCCTGGACTGTCTTCGTTTGATCTGGATTTATAACTCTCCAGYGTCTGCTCCGAAACATCATTTTCTG